CGATTTGGAGATTGCTGTGAGCTATGAAGCCATGGCACTCTATGTGACAGCTTGAGTCTCTGTCTCAAAAAAACTGTAAATGATCTTGAGGAAAGCCACTGAAGTCCCCTCAAATCTGCATGTGAACAAGTAGATCTGGAACAGGTAAATATACTGTTTCCTGACCTCTGACAGGGTGGGAAATCCAAGTAATCTAGATGAAAAAGTGACCCCATGGTTTCTTCATACCCCTCACCAAGAGCCCACTGAGCCAGCAGCTCCTGGCCAGCAACACACCTGATACAAAATAAGACACGGATGTAAGTTATTAATATGTTGGCAAGCAAAACAAGTAATGTGCCAAAGGAAGATAATAGTAAAGCACTGCGAACTTCTGCACTCTGCAAACTGCCCAGGCCCTCCTGAATGGGTTGGTAGTTCATTCTGCAGTGGGGCCCAGAGATGTGAGTGACATCCCTCCTGGTGGGATAAGAGCAGCTCCTGTCACTCGGCCTTCATGACACAGGAAGTTGAAGGTGGCACAGGCATTGGGCTGCAAAGAATAGGCCAGCATCAGCCCTTCTAGTGTGGGCTAAGCCAGAGCTGCTAGAGTTTTCAGATTCTGCAACTTACCGTGTCCTGCACTTCCACAGCAATGCCCCATTCCTTCATGGCTCGCAGCACGGGGGACTGCAGCCTCTCCGTCCGGTCTCCAGTGCCCACCACGAGGATTTCTAGGGAAGGGAAGTTGCGGTTACTCTACAACAAAGTCTGTTGAGAGGCTGGGTGGAGAGTGGCCTCTGGGGCTCAGAACACCTCAGCTCTCTCTCTCTTGCCCTCATACCTATACGGGGTTCCAGCATCCAAAACAGGGAAAAGCTCTCTTCTGTGATGTCCTGATGAGATCCCACCTATGGGGAGGAGGCAGATTCAGTATGACAAATTTACTCAGCTTCTCCCCCTACTCCACTTTTGGGATACACGGAAAGGCCAGTTTGGACAGAGACAGAAGCAGGGAGAGAGCCCGTGACTCTGGGGCAATAGATGCAGGTTAAGCTCACGTTCCACTGCAAGACCGAGCGTGGAAGCAGCGCGCAGGGGCCGAACACGCGGTTTCCGTTGACCATGAAGCCGCGGCTGTTGTAGCTGTCGATGTACATGGCGTGAGGGGACTCGTGTTGCAGCAGAGAGACGCGAGTCCGCTGATACAACTCGTCATCCACAGGCGAGAGGCGATGCTCACGCCGTGGGGCCCTGTAAATCGGTAGGGTCAGGAAGAGGGTCCAGGATGTGGTCTAGGGGCCTGCAAGTGCGGACCCTAAGGTGACCGGTCCTGGGAACCGGGATGGTCAGGGCGCAGAGTCTGGGCTCACCGTGGTAGCGCGACAGGCAGAACATGCAGCGTGGTTCGCGCGCAGTACAAGTAGCGATGTGCTAGAGCCGTAGCCATGGATGATCCGCGCACAGCGAGGCCGTCACTGGGTTGGTAGGGTCTAGCTAGGCCCGACGCAGCTCAGCAACAGCGCCCTCTGCGTTCAGGAGGGCACCGCACAGCTCGGCCAGCCCAGCGGGCAAGTACCATCTGTCTCAGGAGGGCGAATCCCCAGGCACAGCTCCAGTGTCAGCATCTGCTGTCCGCCCCGCCCCAAGTCCCGCTTTAAGGTCCCAAGGGAGTGAGACACCTGGTAGCATCGCCGCCCTCATGGCATTGCCTGGGCCGCAGCCGCAGCCTGAACCCTGGCTCTCAGCCATTAAGTAGGGTTTCAAGGGCCCGGGGCGGGGCAGCCGCCCACCTGGTCCTGTCCTGCACACCTGGCCTGGTGGTGCCAGGCTCCCCGCTGCTAATCCTAAACTGGGGTGTCGGGCCTCGTAGGCGGGGCGGGCAGCTCGGGTTTCTCGGCTGCCACTGTATCACGCCCCTCCCTAACAGTCAACCGCTCGACCGTTGGCCTCACCGCCGCGCGCTGCGGGAGGCGTGGCCGAGCGAGGATTGGCTTTTCCAGAGCGCGAGGGGGCGTGGTCAGGTGGTTTCGCCTTAAAATGGCTCCAAGTCTGCGGGAAGCCGGAGCTAGCGGAAGGGCACGCGGTTGTAGGGTTTATGTGGCTGTTCGGGTGGCATCTACAGGGCTGAACCAGACCAGACGAACTCGGCAGCTCCTGGAGCATCACCTTGTCCTCGCTTGCTCTGCTCGCGTCTCAAGAGTCCCCTCTCCCCCGTCTTGAGTCAAGTCAAGGGCCTTCTGGCGCAAGAGTCGCTGGCACCCGCGCTGGGTTTGGGTATCTCCGCACTCCGGCTCTGTTGTGGCCTCAGGGAACGCTGCCGCGTTCGATACTCGCGGGGCCGGGAGAGTGGGAGGCTCGGCATAGTCGAGGCCTTGCAGTGGATCTGCTAGAACTGGTCGCAATGGGCTTCTGGGGGTCCTGCAGCTGCTGTGTGGGTCACTTTGGCCCCCAGTGCTTCGCGCTCTGGCAGCAGCACTGGACAAAGGGCCCCGGGCGCCGGGTGTCCCCTAGGCGGACGCATGGGTTTACTTCCTCTCTGGCCCCTTGGGCGCGCTTCCCTCTTGACGGATTCCGAAGTCCGCCCGCCACCGTCACCGCACCAGTGGTCCGGGCTGCGTAGGATTGGCCGGGCTTATCCCACCTCGCGGACCAGGTCCCAGGGGAGGCCCCCAACCTCCCCTCTTATTGTTTTGAGGCTCAGGTGAAACTCGGTTTCACCGCCTACTCCTCAGTCCACCTCGGGAGACTGGGAATGGGCGGGTTCTAGTCTGGCCCCAGGGCAAATAACTTGGGGGCAGGAGCCCCCTCCAACGGCTGGATAGCGGGCAACGGAATCCCAAAAGCAGCTGTTGTCTCCAGAGCATTCCAGCTGCGCTTGGATTTCGTTCCCTGCTCTCCTGCCAGAGCAGCGCCCTGGCCCAGATGGGTTGACCCCTGACCCTCAAACATACTTTACGGGCCGCTCTGGTCTCAGTTTCTCCCTCAGGTGTCGCTTCCGGTTGGAAGTGGTGGGTGTAGGCGTTGGAAAGTCGGCTGGTGGCCATCTCAGGCACCGCCAGGGAGCTCTAGCGAGAGAGGCCAAAGGCCTACGGGTAGAGAGCTGCAAGGGTGGTGAGTCCCATAGGGCCGCCCCAGCCCGCAGCCCGCTAAAGATAGCCCTGCACTTCCTGGGGAAAAACCACCCCAACCGTGTTTGTAGACTAGAGTAGCTGAAGTCCCCAGCTTGGCCTCGGGTTCCTCCTAGCAGCTGTCTCTGGGTCATGAGCCTATGGCATGGAAAGCGCTTTGGAATGACACGATCACTCCCGTTGAGTGGGGCACCCAAGAAGCCATCGGGAATGTCGTGTCCGCCCAGTGCACTTTTGGAGCCTCCTAGCAGGGCCTCCCAGCTCTTGCCCAGAAAGGGGCCTTGCCAAGCTTCTTCTATTCTTAACCTTTCTCTCTTTTCCAGCACTTTGGGCAAAAAGATCATGGGGTTTCCCAGATCTCAGTGCTTAGTCAGGTTTAATCTCTTTTGAAAGGGAGGGGTGGATTTATGTTATATTAAAGTTATATTTAAGGATCCCTTGTTAGAGAGAGGAAAAGCGCTTTCCCACTGTTAGAGAAGGATGCTCTGAGGTAGTATTTAGCTGCTTCTCATACTCGAATTACTTAGTTGGCCCATCATGGCTTGTAGCCTAAAAGAGGAAGCTTGAGGATCGCTGTTAAAGTACACTAGGTTAAAGGAGACAAAAGCTGGTGGTAATTTTGGCAAACTATCACGGTGATTCTAATTCCTCAGGTATCAAGAGAAGAAAACTGAAAATTGTATCAGAATACACATTTACTATGAATAAAGACCACCTATATCATAAATGAAGTGTTTGCAAATAAATCGCAGAACACAAATTCTTTTAAAAATTGGGTTTTTAAGCGGCGCGCGGTGACTCACGCCTGTAATCCTAGAACTCTAGGAGGCTGAGGTGGGCGGATCGCTTCAGCTCAGGAATTGAAGACCAGCCTGAGCAAGAGTGAGACCCTGTCTCTAAAAATTAGCCGGTATTGTGGCGGGCGTCTGTAGTCCCAGCTACTCGAGAGGCTGAGGCAAGAGAATCGCTTGAGCCCAAGAGTTTGAGGTTGCTGTGAGCTGTGACAGAACTGCACTCTGCTTAGGGCAACAAAGTGAAACTGTCTCAAAAAATAAAAATAATAAAAATTGGGTTTTTAAAAATAGGTCATAAAAGTGGCCTTAATGTTACTGCCTTATGCTAACAACTCATTCGAAATTTAATGTTTTAATCGTGTCTAAAATGGGGGAAATGAAACATTACACAAAGATATGAGACTTCGGTGAGAAGAGAAGGTGCGTCTGAGCCTCCTACCCAGTCTCAAGGATTTTTCCTTTGTTGTTAATGCGGAGCTACAGGAAAAGAACCCGGCACCGGAGAAAAGAAGCCTGCGCCCAGAGCTGGAGGTCTAAAGGAGGAAACGCCACTGTCTCCACCGCACCTGTCCACTTACTGGGACTGCTGCCGGAACCCCTCCCTCGCCAGTCTGCTCTTCCGGAAGTTCCACCTCCAGAAAATTTTCTTCCGGCTCGGCACACTCCTTCCGGTCGTCATGGCGACGGAGCGCCTTGGGGTGGGGAAAACGCTTGTGGCCCTCAACGCTGCCCTTGGGCCAAGCGGTCCTGTGTGGCTCAAGGAGACGCGCGCCCGTCACCTGTGTGCTCGAGACTTCTTGGCGCCGCAAGGCGCCCTACGGGCGCGTTTCGAAGATGGGCAGGTGGGCAAGAGCCGGGCAGGGTCAGGCCGTGCAGCCCCAGGGTTGCAGCGAGCTCTGCGGCCTGCTCACGCCGCCCTTACATCCACAGGTGCCCGAGCATGTGTTCCGTGCCGTTGCCTGTCTGCAGGGATCCGGTGTGGCCCCAGTGCTGCGCTGCGTGCGGACCCGCGCCGGTCTGTCGCTGCAACTGAACCGACCAGCCGTATTCGAGCGCGTCCTTGGAGCGGTGTCTGCTTATACTGCACCCACCACTCCTGCTTCCTTGGGTCCGCGCGTCTTATTGCACTGCCCAGCGCTGCGCGGCTCCCCTTGCGCACTCGGCCTGAGTCAGCTGCGTACTGTGCTCGTCGCCGATCACCTAGCGCGAGCTCTGCGCGCTCACGGGTGAGCGGGGCTAAAATGCAGAAAGCGGGACAGAGCTTGGGGGACCTAGAGAGCGGCGCCGCCCTTGGGTACAGCCGCTGGGGGTGGGAAGTCGTGGCAATCTGAACCAGGTACTCAGGCTAAAGAGGTCGTCCTCTTTTCACAGGATGTGCGTGCGCCTAGTGCCTGCTGTGCGGGATCTACACATGCTGACCTTCCTGCAGCAAATGCGAGTGGACTGGCCCCCTGCCTCAGAGAAAACCTCAATCGAAACCCTCAGGAGCCGCGCCCTTGCAGAGCTTACTTCTGCTCTTGACAGGGAGACTCTGCCCTCTGGCGTCCTGGGCACACTGTGCCTGAAGGACCTGGTGGAAAAACAGGGCCGGGCAGCTGGCTATAATCCCAACTTGGACAGTTGTCTGGGTAGAACCTAGAGCCTAACAGGGCCAGAAAAGAGGGGGAAGTCCTTTGTGCTCCTGGCCAGCCAGCCTTAGCACCTGTCTGTTCACTTTGCAGTGACTGAGGATCTGCTCTCTGTACTGGCCGAGTTGCAGGAGGCTCTGCGGCATTGGCCAGAGTACGGCTACCCGGGCCTGGTTAGTGACTCCTATCCCTGTGAGCTTCTAGCAAACCAAATATCCTGCGTCTCTTTCCATAGTGATTGTCTTCCTCCTTATAAGGCTGGGAGTGACAGATGCACAGTTGTACACGTGGTGAGCTGTGAGGAGGAGTTCCAGCAACAGAAGTTGGACCTGCTTTGGTGGAAGTTGGATGATCAGGCTCCACTCACACAGGTAGGTAGTGATGGTGAAGCTCCCCACTACCCCACCTCCCACCTTCAGAGTGCCTTTGAAAACCTTCTAAGGGGCTTGTTAGCTAACAGGTCCAGATACTGACAATTGACCTTGAGGGAGCAGGTGCAAAAGCCCTGGAGAAGGTGTGGTCTGAAAACATCTAGAGAACACTGAATAGGTTGAGGTTGGATTGTGTCCTAAGGGGCTGAGCATGAGAAGGAAGCACCAAGCCTGGTAGTTACAGGTTGAGGGAATCCGGGTGGAGTAGAGGTACCAGATTTGTGCTCCTTGAGGGACTTGTTGCTGGAGAATAGTGCCAACTGAGCTGAACCTCTGCCATCTTCCTGACAGAAGCACCTGGTCTGTGGCCCAGTGAAAGTAGCTGGTGCACCTGGCACCCTGATGACTGCCCCTGAGTACTACGCGTGAGTGAGACCAGAAGGAAGGCCAACCTGAGCCAGAATTAGTCAAGGTGGGGAAGTTCTTTGCTGTGACACTGCCCATTAGCCCTCCTCTCTCTTCAAAACAGATTCCATCATGCCCAGGTATGCAAGGCCTCAGCTCTGAAACACAGTGGAGATCTGACACAAGGTGCGGTACACCTGGAAGTCCTGGGCTAAGCTTTGCAAATAGGAGCAGGTCATTTGCACCCCTGCCCCTTGTTCCTTCTGTGCAGAGACTGACCAACCTGTATTCCCTCAGACCCAGCCTGGGTAGAGATTTTTGAGATTCTCTCTATGGCCACAATCAAGTTTGAGATGCTAAGCACAGCCCCACAGAGTCAGGTGAGCCTCAAAGTCTCACAGGGCCAGGGCTGGGTGGACAGGGTATGGTCCCCTCTCTGCAGCTATGCTCCTGTTCCCCAGCTCCTCCTGGCCCTTCCTGACAGCAGCATCTCCACAAAGGGCACAAAGAGTGGCACCTTTGTCATGTATAATTGTGCCCGTCTTGCCACACTTTTTGAGAGTTACAAGCACAGTATGGAACAAGGTCTGTACCCCACTTTTCCACCTGTGAACAGTCTGGACTTCTCACTGCTACGTGATGAGGTATGTGTCCCTCCCAGTAAGTAGCACAAGCAGGAGGCTTGGACTTACCTTGCAGCACCCTTCTCCCCCCACAGGGTGAGTGGCTGCTACTCTTTAACAGTATCCTCCCCTTCCCGGATCTACTGAGCCACACAGCAGTCCTGGACTGCACAGCCCCAGGGCTTCGCATCACTGTACGCACAGAGATGGTGAGGCACAGAAAACTGGAACGGGCACTGCACACTCTATTCTTTATTCTGGGTTGGGGTACAAGAAGAGACAGGCCAGTGACTCAGTCTCTGTTTCTAGATGTGCAAGTTCCTGGTACAGCTCAGCATGGACTTCAGCTCATACTATAACCGGGTACACATACTAGGGGTAAGCACACAGCAAAGGGGGTGGGAGGTATAAATGGGTATAGGGTAAGGGTAAGAAAGCAGAGGATGAGACCAGCAGGCCTCTTTTCCTCCAGGAGCCTCGACCACACCTCTTTGGTCAGATGTTTGCCCGCCTGCAGCTTCTGAGAGCTGTGCGTGAGGTGTTCCACACTGGCCTGGCTATGCTGGGTCTCCCTCCACTGAGCCACATCTAAGGCCCCAATATCTAGGAATATTCACAAAGTCATCAACTGGAAAAAATGCAAAACTCCATGTGTTTTTAGGAGCTCGGAGCCAGAATAAATGTTTTATAGTTTTATCCTGTTGTGGGAAGTGGTAAATATTCTTGGCAGCACTCTACTCACCTCCAGCTCCTGCTCTGAAGTTGGGAACCCCTGCTCCACTATCTGTGAACAGGCCCTATGCCCAGCAGGCCACTGTGGTATACCTCAGTCATACCAGTTGTAAACTTCAAGCCCCTGACCCCCAAGAGCACAGCGATGGCCAAACTCGGGGCTCACGGGCCAGCAGTCCATATCGGCCACATCTGGCACATGATACACAGTGCTGTTCATGAAGGTGGGCTCACCATGCCCCAGACGCCAAAAGGTCAGCCGTTGGTCAATGGATGCTGAGACCATGAGGCTTGGGCTTAGGATCTTGAGGCCTGTCACATGGGCAGCATGTGCACAGGGGACAGAGTATTCCTCAAGGACACGCAACTGGGATACCATCTCAGCCTCCCCCACGGCCTCTTCCAGCTCTGGCATCTCCACAGCAAGCATGAAGACATGGATGGAGCCATCTTCACTGCCACTGGCCACAAGATGGTGGCCATCATTTGTGGGCAAGGTGTGCAGGCTGTTGACACCGCAGCTGTGGGCCTGGACAGTCAGGGAGGGGGTGCCCAACCCTGGAGGAAAAGGATGGTTGTCAGGGCCCTGCCTGCCACTTTTAAGAAGTCAGAGGAAGAGGCTGTCATGGTTGCATATTAGCTACTCACGGTAGGGAAGCCCAGGGTCTTCTGGAGGCTCAAGGGCATTGGAGCCACAGTCTAGCACAGTGGTGAGATCCCAGAAGGCCAAGTTGCCATCAGTAGCTGCACTGCACAGAAACAGCCTCCTGGCAGTGAGGAAAGAACAACCAGGTCAGTGAGAGGGATGGAGAGCAATAGAAACATCACCCAACCCATGAAGGATCATCATCCAACTCCTCTCACCGCCGCTGGTTGGGTGCCTCATGCGTAAAGGAATGGACCTTGAGGACACACCGCTTATGGTGGAAGGTTTCAGCGAAGAGTCGCAGAAACTGCCCAGAGTTCTGCAAGAGAAAAAGCCTGGGGGGATGGGGGTGGTCCAGCTCAGAACTCATCTTGGACAACGTCATATCCTTTGTCTCCATATTCCCTGGGCCCTTTGCTCTCACCTCACTGCCCCATCACTACAGGCTGCAGCCACAAGGGGGCCAAGTCCAGGTCGATCAAATTCACACACTGCAAGGGACATGTACCTGCAGAGACAAGACAAAGCTGTCAGGTGGAGCCTGCAAGCCTGAGGGCACCTACAAGGGGCTTTGTCTGCATGATCCCACCCCATTCCCCTGCCAGGCAGTGTACATTACCTTGTTTCTGGGTCCACCTTGATCATCCGATGCCGATTGCGCTGCCGATCCCAATACTCATCTAGCCGGTGGGATGTAAGGTGCATGACATGGCAGGCAAGGCGACTTGGGGTGCTGGGATCAGGAGTAACCAGGATGCTGAAGCAGTGCATCTCGGCCCTCCCCCCAGCAGACACCACATGAGCAGTTAGGCCTGGCCGAGGATCCTGAGAGCCACCTGGGGTGCCAATGCCCCACACAGCCACAGCACGCACAGAGGAGATATGGTTACAAACAGCTGTGAGTGCATGTGCTGAGCCTGTGGTTGTGGGGAGTGCCAGTACACACACAGTAGTGTCCTCGCTGCAGGTGATAACTATGTCGGTCAGGCCAGGCCCCTCACTGCCAGGCTCTAGGTTGTCGGGATCCATGAGGCTAGGCACCCCAAATTCAGGCCCCAGGGTGATGGTCCCCACACGCCTTACACAAGTGATCTCACGGCCATGTAGACCCTCCCGGAGGATCACATGTGGCCGGGTACAGCCACCCAGAGCCTGGTACAGCATGACATCCCCATCCTTAAGGTAGGCGAAGGCCATAGCTGCCTCAGTATCAGAGAAGGCCCAAGAGCGGTGCCCTCCACCACAGTTGACAATGTGCAGCTTTTCATGTGACCGGGGGCTCCACACCACAAACTCATTGGCATGGAAACCCAGGATGACCATGCTCCCATCAGGCACCATACGTAGCCCAGCCAGCCAGTTCATGCCTCGACAGGACTTCTGCCTTAGGACTGGCTGGAGCTGGCCACCTCGCACAAAGAGCTGGTAGTAGGCACCATCACGCCCTGTGGTATACACGTAACCACCATGACATGTGACTGAAGTCACACCCTGCTTCCCATGCAGAGAAGGAAGGGTAGACACAGGGCCCCACCCCACGAAAGCATTCCCACCCTCACCACTGCCACTATCTGCTCCAGATACTCCAGTACCAGTCCCAGCCTTGCCTCCCACCCCAGGGTCCTTGAGGAGACCTGGCCTGGAGGGGAACAGCAGCACAGAGCCCCGGCGGTCCCCACACACCAGGAAGTCACCTGGAGGCAGGAAGGTACTACATGTATGCCATCTCTGCTTGCTTGGGGGCAGCAGGTACCGACAACGTTCTTTAACAAAGATAGCCTTGCCAGAAGGTGCAGCTGAGATCTCCAGGCAAGCCACTACCCCACCAGGGCCTGATGCCAGCAATAGGAGCTCTTCATAGCCACGCAGGGCCCAACTCAGACTGTGCACTTTCCCAGGGAACAAGGTCTGGTCCACAGCAGCAGTTGGAGTGTTGATGGGGACAACCTTGACACGACCCTCCCCATTGGCCATGGCACATAGTCCAAAGCCCTCAGGACCAGGTGCTGCCTCCAGGAGGCAGTAGGACTGGAAATACTTATCTTCTAGTAGCTGCTCCCAGCACTTGATCTCCAGGTCATAGAGGTACAGGGCCCCTGTATCAGTCACTGCCAACAGTCGCCACGAGCCAGCCAGCGTAACAGCTTTGAGGGTACCTGGCCTACTATGGGACTTAAAGGAGAGAGCTGAGACCCCTGAGCCTGGGTACCCACGTCCTACCAGGTGCCATAATCGAATGCCTGAATCATCACCCCCAGTGATCACCCAGGTCTGCCTCTCGTGGGCAGCTATAGCCCGGATCCCACGGCCCTGATGGCCCCGAAAGGCCTGAAGGATCTCACCTTCATGGCTCCACACCAAGCAGACACAGTCCTCTCCTGCACTAATAAGATAATTCTCTAGGAGCTTCACCTGCCATACACGGGCACTGTGCCCAAAGCAATGCCCAATACTCTGCACCCGACCCCCAGGAACCCGCAGGTCACCCACTTTCCAGATACGGACACTTCGGTCTTCTGAAGCTGTAGCCAGTAAGCCCTTGCTTTCCAGGTAGGACATGCTGAAGATGACACCCACATGCCCACTGACCCGGCGGTCAGGTGCCACAGGTTTGTTGTCTGCTAAGGCAGCAGCTGGGTACCACACCAGGAGCTGGTTGGAAACAGCACCTGCCACTATGGTCACCTCCTTCCAGGTGTCTCCAATCAGACAGGCTGAGGAGAGGGTGCACCTGTCTGTGCAGGGCACCTCCTGCAGGATGCACCCTACCACTGGGTCATATAACACCACTGAATTATGTCCCAGAGCCAAGGCCACATTCCCCTCCAGCCAGCGTGCATCCCAGATCCAGTCAGACATGTTCCACAGGCCAGAGCGCCAAAGCTCCCGGAAATGGCCCTGTCCCCAGCTAACTTTCACAATCCGGAGTCCCTTGCTCCCAAACACAGCCACCATGGCCTCTGCATCAAGGTCTCCATTAGGCTCTGGCCGTACCCGGAACCCATGGATAAGATAGTGGCCAAGCAGGTTCTGCATTCGCTTCATCATCCGCAGATGTCCACCAAAATCCAAGCTGTACACCAGGACATCAGGCCCCTCACCTATACAGAAGCAAAGAGTCACATCAGAACTGTGCACCTAACTCTGATGACCCAAGGGGAAGAGATACAGGACAGGGAGGCTTCCTAGCATGTATATAAACGTATAAAGACACACAATCCAGTGGCTTGAACCTTAGAAAATCCTGGTCTCGGCAGGGCGTGGTGGCTCACGCCTGTAGTCCCAGCACTATGGGAGGCCGAGGCGGGTGGATCACCTGTGCTCAGAGGTTCGAGACCAGCCAAGACCCCCTGAGCCAAATGAGCCAGAGTGAGACCCCATCTCTACAACAACAACAGGACAACAAGACAGCCGGACCTTGTGATTCCAGCTCCATGGGGGGCAAGAAAACACTACAGGAGGAAGAAGTAATAAAAAAAAAAAGAAAATCCTGGTCTCTTGGGTGGTACCTGTGGCTCAGTGGGTAGGGCACAGGCCCCATATACCAATAGTAGCAGGTTCTTTTTTTGTTTGTTTGTTTGTTTTTGAGACGGAGCCTCAAGCTATTCCCCTGGGTAGAGTGCCATGGCATCACGCTCATAGCAACCTCCAATTCCTAGGCTCAAGCGAGTCTCCTGCCTCAGCCTCCCAAGTAGCTGGGACTACAGGCACCCGCCACCATGCCTGGCTGTTTTTTTTTGGTTGCAGCCATCATTGTTGTTTGGCGGGCCCGGGCTGGGGATTCGAACCCGCCACCTTAGGTGTATATGGCTGACGCCTTAGCCTCTTGAGCCACAGGCGCCGAGCCTAGTAGCAGGTTCAAACCTGCCCCAGCCAAACTGCAACAAAAAAATAGCTAGGTGTTGTGACGGGCGCCTGTAGTCCCAGCTACTCAGGAGCGAAGCCAGAGAATCGCCTAAGCCTAGGAGTTGGAGGTTGCTGTGAGCTATGTCGCCATGGCACTCTACTGAGGGCGATAAAGTGAGATTGTCTCTACAAGTAAAAGAAAAAAGAAAATCCTGGTCTCAACCTCAGCTGGACTTTAAGTACTGACTTTCTGCTCCCCTCATCAGTCACTCTTGACCGTCAATTCAACCATGAATTTCTCAAACTCACAGCCTTCTCACTCCATCTCAGTCTTCATATAGGAACCTCCTATATGAAGGAATTAGTCCCCAAACCTTCAGCCTCATATACCTCTACATGCATCCTTTCTGATTCCCCTCTCCCAGGGGCCACTGCTGCACCCCTCCAGATTTCCAGGAGCTTCTTCCTTCTA